CTTTACTTGTGACCCAGCAAATAAAAGACGGTGAAAAAAGAATAACACTACTGTGTACTTGCGTCTTGCGTCTTGCCTTATTAAGGACAAATGAGAGGATGTTGGGTCGGAATGAACTAGAGGCTACTTAGGTACTTCTTCTATAACGGGAATTGGAATTCTATCTAAAAAGACATCCAGGTCAGCAATTTTTACCTTCGTTTCCCACAGCCATCGAATAAAATTTCGAACCACCGATTTAGGGGTGTAAATAGATCGGAGTTCAATTTAAAATCAATTTGAACAGATTAGACGGACCAACAAGATATATTGAATTGGACCAGTCTAGACTTAATAATCTAAACATTTATTGGATTAGATTGGACCTGATCCATTCATCCGTAATAAATTTATATTGGATTGTGTTGGATTAAGACAATATATGGAGTGTCATTGGACCAATCTAAATTAAAACAAATTTAGATAAATTAGACGATCCAAACATTGAATTGAACTAATTCAAAATAATCCAAAATATTCATTTGATTGGATTTAACCTGATCCATTTGTAATAAGCTTACATTAGACTGAATTCGATTGGACCAAATCCACTCTAATTCGGAATAGATGTTACCTTGACTTGAGATTTGCTACGATCCAGAAATTTGAGGAGGCAGGGAGGAAGTAGAGGAAGTGAGGCCCCGAATCACCCAAATTTGTTTATTGCTGAAATTGAATTCTTTAATGTACTACTTATCATATTTGCCATTATACCTAAGAAGGTTGAAACTCTTCCCATACCATATTCGTCATTATTTATCAAAATTCATATGTGGGTTTTGATTGGTCAAAACTCTTTCTATACTATATCTTTTCCGTAACATAAATTTTCCCGTATTTTAGAAATGATTAGTTACATTTTCAAATAAAATTCAAAATTTAAATCACTCTATCAAAATAATTAAATTAAAAGACGCATGCTCAACCGAATAAGAAGCATACATCTTGGGACCCATTCAAAATCTTAAAATGGATGTATAGGTGGAACCCATTGAAACTATCATAAACTCGGCCAACTTGACCCCTTAATTCAATGAAAATTTATTACTTCTAATTTAACAATTTATAGGTCCACAAAAGTTGATTCATTTATGTTTAATCTGTACACGCCATATAGGTCATTGAATTTAAATTGACCCCTTAGTTCAATTAAAGTTAATTACTTTAACTTAAATAACTAGTGAATGATCCCGTATTAAGTACGGGTAACTAAATGTGTTTATAATTTAGTTTGAAGTTTACAATTCAGTTATCAAAAATTAAATTAAAAAAACTAATATGGGTCTTGTATTTTTGTAATTCACAGTCTATTCTGACTTATTATTTGAAACCCACTATTAATTTATGTTCTTTTAATTAGATTTAAGATATTAAATGAGATCTTATTGGTAGGCAATAACCTACTTTATTTGGTATTTACTATTTATCTAATAATTCTATTTTGAGTTATTTCTTTTTAAATGTTAAATTAGGTTGCTTCCTAAAAGTTAAATCAAGTTTGTAATTAATAAAGCATTTTCTTTATTAATAACGAATGTAATTCTAACTATTAATGAGTATTGACAATGATTGTAAACTCCAAACTAAATTAAGTAATAATATATTCTTATTATTATGTATATACTTAATTTGTGTATATTAAGTAAATAATTTGTAATAATTAATTTTTTGGTTAATTAATAAAATAATAAGTGCTTTTACAATAATAGTATTAATTATAATAATAGCATTAATTATAATTACTTATAATAATAATGTAAATAATTATCACTAATTATTTATTTATAAAAAAATTAATATGAATTAACATAAATATAAAATGGTTATATCCCAATTAATAATTAGCATTATTATAAATAAGGAATTAATTATCAGTAAGTAATTATAATCAGTAATTATTTTTTATCAGAAATCATTATTATTAGTAATAATTAATTTTGATTATTTATAATAAAAATAATATAATTATATTAATTCATATAGTAGTATTAATTATAATATAATAATATTAATTATAGTATATTAATTAATATAATATAATATAGTATAATATAATTATTAGTTCCAATAAGTATGGTAATTATAAATGTACTATCCAATACTTATGGGAATTATTAAAACTTCCAATTATTTATTTGAAAAATTCAAAGTTTTATAATATAACTTTCACTAAATTAAATTAATAGAAGTGGTATTTTTTGTAATAATTTGAACAAAATTACTGATTATATCACAAACTACTTTTTGCTAAAAATTAGTGATAATATAAAAATAATGTAAATCTAAAAATGAAATAAATTTATATTTCTTGAATTAAATTTTCTAATGAAATTTTATATTAATTTGTTAGTAATCATTTATTTCAATAATTAATTTAGACACACTTCATGAAATTAAAGTACCATAATCAGTAATTTTCAGCAAGTAATTTCTATAAATTAAATTTTCTTATTTACGAAGTTATATAATTAGTGATTATAAAATCACTAATATTAATAATATATTAATTAATGATCAGTATAACATATAAATCGGGGTTTGTTGGAAATTGGATTGAGTTAAATGAATAAATTACCAAACTCAGTAATTTTCAGCAAGTCATATTTAGTAATAAAATTCATATTTACCATCTTATATTATTACTGGAATAATTACTTATATTACTGATATTATAAGATAGATATTAATATTAATGATTTGAAAACCAATAATGTTAATAATATATTATCTGCTAAAAATAATATTATTAATTATAATTACTGATATTAAATTATCTTCATTATATATCGATAATGTTAGTAATTATAAATCGGTAGTTAAGATTATTAATGAATCTGAATATTAATCATAGAAATAATTGTAATATTAAAATTAATGATTTTAATAGCCGTAATGGTAATAATAATATTGAAAACAATAAATGACCGAAAGTGGTTCTTTTATCAATAAATTGACCAAAATTACTATAAATATCAATAACAACTTATTACCAAAAAATTACTGATAATGTGAAAACTAATGTCAATGTTAAAGATATAAATTTAATTTTACTGAAATGAATTTTCCAATGAAGTTTTTTCAATTCAGCCAGACAAGGCATGTTTTTTCTAATACAGGCGACCACCGACGGCTTGATAAATGCCACCGTATGAGTCTCCCGGTCATCGTCGGCCAAATGTAAATGATCGCCGGTGGTCAGTGATCTCATCAGATATATACGAGGAGCTAGTGGTCACCTGTATTAAAAAAAATATCCCCTGGCTGAAACCCGACCACCGACGGCTTGATAAACACCATTGTATGAGCCTCCTGGTCACCGGTGTCCAAACATAATTGCTTGATTAAATATCCCCTTGCTCACCGGTCACCGGGGTAACTAAACATCCCCTTGCTCACCGATGCCTTCATCAACAGCGACGGTATAACATTCCCGACCAGGAAGTCAACTAACCTGATCAAGGATGGATCTGGTTCTTGTACAGGTTGTACGTTTCTCAGTGTGGAGGTAGTCTCTACTTCTTCCAGAGGATGTTTCTCATTGCTGAGGTCTGGTTCTTGTAGAGGCTCTGGTTTTCTCAGTCTCTCAGTAGCAATCTTGGGCAGTTGTAATTAAAGTTTAGATGTAGTGATTCATTAGAATTTGTGATTGACTGATTTGCATTTTCTGCTTGTTTTAGGATTGGATAGTCCCACTTTTCACGTCTGAAAAATTGCAATATCAAACGTATGTGAAAGCAGTAAGAGAGGAACAAAAAAAACAGAGAGCCACATGTCTTGACTGGGAGGCTTTGGACCAGTCAAGCTGCTCTATAATTAGTAAAATGGTTAAATAACCAAATGAAGCTAATAATTTAATTCAAGTTAATTAAAATGTGATAAAAATTTAAAACCAAATATTTAAATAAAAATTAATTGGATATGTATTACATGTATATAATGTACTTGTCTATGTTAGCATCATCCCTCCATCTTTCTACACTTTTTGTCTAAACTTTGTTAATATTATCTATAATTCTATATTCTCACAAAATACTCAATTATCTAATGTTTCTTAAAATATCTCCACCTTCCTAAAGTAATCAAATCAAACTTATCGTACAAGTACTAAATCACAAACAAAATAATAGTTGCCCTGTTATTAGGATTTTGCCATGTCTACATAAGTTAAAAAGAAGAAAAACATAAATTGTTAATTGCAAATTAAACCTGATTTAATTTTCTAAAACAAATAAAAAACCAAAATCAAATTTATCATATAAGCATAAGTTGTGATCTCAAATGAAATAATAAGTGATGTAGGTCATTCTTCTAGATAAAATATGACAAGTCTCTTAAATCAAATAAAATTCCATAAAAATGAAATGAAAAACCTAACCTATATCTCTAATATAGAATATTTTAAAAAAAATTGAAATGATTCAGATCTTGGACCCGTACTCAGTACAGGGGTCATGCCTATTTTAAAATAAAAGGCAAGAATTACTCTATTTTAGCCACATTCAAGGGCTGCTGGGCTGAAATTATCACATAGGATGAAGGTCTAGGTCTGAAAATTATATACTTTGATGGGTGTTTACTAACGTGTATGATTTTGTTTTTCATTTGGTGTTGTGATTTGTGATAGTTGTTTTTTTGTTGCGAAAAACAACGCCAATCATGTAGCCGAATACCCCTTGAAATGCTTTCTCTTTCAAACAGAACATACACAAATGAAACTGTTCCTTTTTTTTCAAAGAAAATTCGTTAAGGATGTGTTTCAGACTTCAGAGAGTTGGAAGGTGATAATCACTCCATAAGGTGGGAATGTGGACCTTGGACTTCAAACAAAAGGCTCAGTCTGGAAGGAGTAGATTTTGGTCGGTATTTCCAAAGAAGGTTTTGAACTCCCTGCTGCCTTGAGATTTGAAAAAGGATCTCCCAATTCTCAATAAGTAACGACTTGTAAGTTGTAACAGAAACAGTAGTAGTAAACCTTGATGGATATCTTCATAATCCAAGCAGTGTATGAATACAACATAGTTAAAAGATCAATTAATATACAATGATGCCTAAGGCTTTACTCCAAATAGAAGAATTTCATTGCAGAGATAATTAACAAAAAATAAAAAAAGGAACTACAAACTTTCGATTGCTACCCTATCGTGTTTGATTGATCTTCCATTGTATTGGTTGTGTAATGGGACTTAAAGTTGTATCAACTCAGGTATAAGCTTCAGTAGAAATGACAGTTCACGCTGAGAGAATTTGGGCCTTGTCATCACCTGAATCCGGCCATCCCCTTCGGTACAGCTCTCCTCTTCTCCCTCTACTGCAGGCTTGATGAAGTCAGAAACCGCAGTTGTAATCTCTTGAACCAGATCCACAATCACCCCATCGATACCCATTAGATATTGCATGTATACCGCTTCAGTCACATTACTGAGACACAAGAATAAGCATCAATACACCTGAAATGGAACCTAATCACAAGAAATCTGTTCTGCAGTCGAGAAATCTACAGATATGCATAGACCGAGTTTAGCACAAACAACTTAGTAAGTCCTCAAGCATTTATATATATCCAGCAATAGGCCAAACTGGCTATTGAAACCTGTCAACCAAATAGAAGAAATCCTACTTTAACACTGTTTGAAGAAAAGGAAAATTACTTCAATGGGCCGTAGGTTAGGAGGGTAAGATTTGAATCTTTTATCCTGTTTATAGCTCCTGGGTTTCTGAATATAGCCTTGACCTGGGATACGATCCCCTGCAAGCCGTTTGCCAGGCACAAATTTATGGCTTCATCTAAGGAGTTCCTTCTGACATCAGGGTATATTTCGGTCCCGCCATTTGTGAGAAAGTATACCTAGTTTTGATCAAGGACAACTTTAGAAAACATTCACTTCAAAAAGAAAGGGAATTAAGTAACAGGAAAACAGGGTGTTCTTACAGGGTATGTGCTCTGCAAAATTCTCACAAGCCGTGCTGCATCCGGATGAAAAGTTGAGAAGATGATGGGTCGATCCTTGGCGTGCTCAAAAACAACCTGGTCATTATTAACTCCCCACTTTTAGGCTTGTCTTAAGGAGGGGGAAGAAAAGAATAGTCACCAGGAAAGGAAAGCATACCCTCAAGATTACTTGAAGAATGTGAATGAGCACTTGCTCCTGATAAACAATGTGGTCATCAAACTTCAATTCGATATTGAAACCCAATTTGGGGTCAACCTTCTGGAATGCCTCTTGCAATGTGCAGAGAGAGTCGTCGTCCTGAACCTTCCAGTTGAAAATCCTTCCATCTTTAGTTTTTCGGAATAGTGCTTTTCCCACCTGGTTTTTCAACAAGTTCAGAGAGGCAAACTCAGTTTCAGTTTTATTTATCGGATGGATTTATTGATAATAACCGGGAAAACGGAAGGTTAAGAACGTCTAGAGAAAAAAAAAATAAAAAATATACAAATGATTACATTTCCGGTATCTCTTTGAGGTCCATAGCTAAGGAATTCAGCTAAGGTAAGCTCTTTAATTATCTTCTCTGTAACGCAACCCTGAAAATAAAAAGCCAGCCAAGCAGATGGATTATTATTTTTTATAATAAAAGAGCATGTAACTTGGATATAGAAGCGCTAATTAGCAAAAACAAATAAGTAAAAAAAGGCAGAAAGATCTTACATTCTCCTCCGTCAAGATGAAGATGTCGTGGAAAATGATTGGGCAGTCATCTCTTGTCACCTACAAAAGTTACATTTTCTTGGTTTACTGTCTCGTATAAGGATCTTCGCTCATCAACATTTTCTTTTCATTTCATTCCTTTTTTTTCTTTTTCTTTTTAATAGAAGGGAAATCGATATCCGAACAAAAGAAACAGAAGAAAGCACGAAAATGAATTAATCAGTACACTGATATTCAGCCGAGAGAGAGAGTTAACAAGGTAAAACCAGCAGAAACAAAATAGATGAAAAAATAGGTTAAATAACAGCTGAAGTGACTGAACTGAATAAGGTGAAGCTTAACATAAAAAGACTGAAGCTAAAATCGGGTAACCTGAATATTATGATGAATTGATATATAATTATTTTATTCGTTAGGTAAGAAAGCAGTGAAGTAAATTATTCACATCAGTCATTTCATCCGTCACGGACGCGTATAATAATGTACTACCGTGTCCAGAATTTCCGGGCAGTCACATGGGATGATGACACTTGAAGAGAGCAACTTGGGCGAGCGAACTGGTTCCGGCAATATAGATCCAACCAGTCAGACAGCAATTGAGACCGACGAAATATCTGCTCAAGCTCAGCCTAATCCAGGCCCAATCCCAAAGAAAATACTTGACACAGTCCGAAAGGTTAGGGGGGTGATGATACTCAATCGTATTGCACACACAAACGATGTTTCTCTCAGCTCCATCCCTCTTCTTCTAAATGTAATTGTTTGTTTTGATTTTTGGGGACGTGCTATCCCCGTTCTGTGTAGCCCTATTTTAGGACTATCAATGAGGCCCAGGAAGGCCTAATGTATTAAAATGGGCCGGACAAGCAGAGTAAAATCCTAACTAGAGCCAACCCGAGTTCCACCCCTGGTATCTCTATTGGCTAGGGTCTAACTAGGATTTGGTTCTGGATTGTTCGTGTGTGTGTCCCCACCATATTGGGCGGATGCTAGATTTTTATGTAAAGAGGTGTTCTAGTTTGGCTTTTGACGTCACAGGGTCAAAACGTTTGTCTCAATTAGAGCTGTTCATGGGTTGGATTGGATCGGTTTAGTAATGATTTTTCAATCACTCGATCTGGTCGGATTACCTATCGACCAAATAGAAACTGACCTTCTATTAAGTAAAATCGACAATCATTTGGGTTTCAACCAACTATATGCACATGAAGTCAAAGTAATCATATTATATATAATATTTTAAAATATATTTTCTGAAAATATATATTTAAAACCAAAACATATATACAAATATATCAAAATATATGTATTTCGGAAATATATATCCGATATATTTCAGAATATATAATTTTTCAGATATATATATTTATTATTTAAAATTAACATATCTATATTTCACAGATTTTTTTAAAAAATATATTTTTTTTATATAATTCGGTTCTGTTTCAGTTTTCATATATGAAAATCAAAACCGAACCACATTATCGATTTATTCATCTTTACAACCCAAAATCAACGGGTAGTGAAGAAAAATTGGCCAACTCGAATTGGATCGGACCGTCTGGACGAGAAGCAAAGGAAGTATCGACATAAGATTGATAAGATCGGGTTAAAGAAAGGGTTCGGGTTAGAGTCGAGGATTGAACATCGTATTCGTATTGGATTTAGGATTGACCAGATTTGCCGACAAAAGTTTTACGTCTATTGAACGGGATGCGACAACATTTTTATTGGGCGATTACTACTAGTACTCTGGCGTTAGATTAAAATGGATGGATTTGTACACGTGTCAAAACAATGTACTTTTCTTAAATCAAGGCCGTTTCACGGCGAGAAGGGGAAGTTTGCCGTTTCCTTACGCGGCGGATGACGGATGTTATCGCCACTTGCGGTGCGGGGTGTAAAACGAATTCAGACCGAATAGAAAGAAAATATGCCACCGGAAATAGATCGGAAGGCAACCAAGGAAATTAACGAACAAGAACAAAACCAGAGAAGAAGCAGTCTTCGCCGACAGTCTCACCTGAACGTCGAATTCTACAAAATCAAGGGCAAACTTTCCGGCAGTGTTAAAGGAAAGAATTGAGTTTTCTTTTATGACTTGCATTCTCCGGTCGGACGAGTGCAACATGTTCATGCCACACCCTCTGTGTCCAATGACCATAAATTTTGGCGATTTTAACGTGGCTCGAACATCATTGCCTGAAAAAAGAAACAGGAATTTTAGATGTAATTTCAAAGACCAGAGGGCATATGATAACCGATAAAAGGAAACCAAAATCCAAAGCTCTTTCTAAGAAGAAATAAAGAAAATAAAAACTTTTTCGTTACGGCGAGAGAGAAGAAAACTATAGCTCTGAAATGAATGAACACTCACCTTTAGAAAACCGGCCGGAATAGAGAGCCAGAGTGGCATTTTCCGGGACCTGATCGAGATTAGGAACGTCGGAAACGTGAACGGCTTTAAGAGCCATAGACAAAAAACAGAAAAAACAAAATTAGAGAGAGAGAGAGAGAGCGAAGGGAAAGTTTTCAAGAGAGATACAGAGAGAGCGAGGAGTTGAGACAACGGTAATTCCAAAGGAGGTCAAGGCGGGGGTATATATTATAGGGATGAAGCCTGAAGAGGGAGAGAAATAGCAGAACAGAAATGGGATCTTGGCGGAAGAATATTGGAGTTGTAAATTAATGTAGAATTCTAGAACGAATACGTTGCAGTGGTTGGCGGGTTATTCAATGGTATATTCCGTTAAGATAAACGGAGGATGGGGTCATGGTCGTCGAGAACAGCCGATTGCTTCCGTTAATTAGGGTGGGTGATTCCGTTGATTCTTTGGAGAAGTGGAGTAGGGGATGCGAGGACGGGAAGTTTCCTTGCCATCTCCAATCTGTTCTTGTGGGGGTTATCTGGCTGTGGCTGGCTCTCCCCGTCAGAGAGACTGAAGAATTTCTATTTCTAAATCAAACCAATGAAATGATGTGCACAAGGGAATATGCCAAGGAATATCTGATCCGGTTTGATGGACACGTGGGATTCCTGTCTTTTCCGTTTATCGATGGTTTATCCTTTTAGCTTGAGCCTTCATACCAATACGTGATCGGATCGGCTGCCCATCCCCTCCGTGTATTGGGAATTTGGGATCATCCCCGTGCTTGTCATGCATGATACATCCATGCGTAGAGCGCAAGTTTTTAATTTTTTTTTCATTTTTATTTTTATCGATGAAAATGAATTTCCTTCAATAATTGTGTAATTTACAAATTATTAGCTGTAGCGCCAAATGGAATGCTGGAGTGGGGTTATGAATGTGATGTGAACAGAATGATCGTAACCGTTGAATTGGCGAAATTTGGACTTCAGTCAACGCGCTAGAACCATTTAATCTTAGAGATGTGAGAGGTTTGTTGGGTTGCGATTGTGATTGGTGAACACGATGTTACGGATTGGTCAGCTATCAGCATTAGATTAGATTAGATTAGATAGAGTAGCTTGCATTGCAGATATGTGATTGGACAGGATTGCAGCCGGTTATTTCATTAAAATTCAGACGATCTGGAGGATACGCTAACTGCCATATTGTCACGGGGGTAGTTCTGTGTCAGACCGTAACAATATGCTGACGAAACGAAACACGAATTTTCAAAAGGATGTTTCCTTCGTTCTGATCCGGCAGAAAGAGACGAATATTTTTGTTTCAAGTACGTTTACGTTATAATTTCTAGAACGGAGGGAATTGACGTCTGCGCCCTACAATATATTCCAAGCGTCTGTGGGGCGCAGATACAGGCAAGACTTTTTTAAGAGGAATCGATTCAAAGTTTTTAAAATCATAAAATGAAAGTTTAATAAAAAAGGGTTAAAAATCGGAAACCTGATATAGTCAGGGCTAGGCCCCTTCCAACAATTTTTATAGAATACATCCCATGAAATAAAACATATCAATCTTAAACTTGAATTTTGTCAAATTTTGAATAAGATTGTCCTAAAGCTCGAATTTAACATAATATAAAATTAGACCCAAAACCCGACCTGTAAACAAGTATAATTTGAACAGTATTCAAATAGGTCTTGCACTGACTGACAACAATCGGGAAAAAACAAACTAAACGTGAGGAATAACAGTCAACATCAAAATACGTGGCGCCGATGAGCATGATAAGAATTTCTTAGGGGAAAGTAAGCTATTGGTTTTGGAGGAGGAGGTGCACTGTTGCAAGACGGAGTCCGGATATGTTCCCCACCCATCTCATTGCAACTGTAGAATGTAGAAAGAAGATGTTTTCAATGCACGGCTGCAAGACGGAGTCCGGATATGTTCCTCACATAGCGCTCTTCATACCAATCTCAATAATCTCCCGTTCACGAAAATTCTGCCCACATCTACCCACAATGCATTATCCCTGTGAATAGGGAATATTTCTCCCTGTATAATATTATGTAGAGAATGAGATATTTTTCACATGTGATTGCGATAAATATGGACAGGGTTTGTGTGGGTAAGAGATCTGGACTCATCTCATTATGTGTCTCAATCGCACATCGGAAACATTTTCTGTATTTTATTCTCAATATACAGTGGGATGGGACCATGAGGTGCGCTTTGTGAAAGAGTATACCCTAATTCCTGAAGACGGTGTGAGAACAGTTTTGTATGACAGTGTTTGGAATCGGTATAAAATATTTGGTGTAAAAGTATGCCAATGACATATTACATTGAACTATGAGTTTGTGATCGTTGCACTTTTGAAAAATGTGATGTGATTGGTGTAATGTTCTACATTGATTTTATTGGTGTAATATTTACACGATAATTATCGTAATTTGGAGAGAGAGATAATTCTCTTTTCATTGATTCGGGAAATATTACAAAGAGACATATATATATATAGCAAATGAAGAAAAAAACAAAAAAGAGGAAAACTAATAAATTGTAAATTACAAGTTTAGTCTTCTAATAGCCCCCCACAAGCTGGAGCATACAAGTTTTGAATGCCCAGCTTGCAGATTGAGCTATTGAACGAGTGAGGTGGCAAGGGCTTAGAGAAGCAGTCAGCTAATTGGTCTTCAGAAGTTATTGGCATCAGGTGGATCAAACCGGCTTGCAATTTTTCCCTTACAATGTGGCAATCTATGTCAATATGTTTTGTACGGTCATGAAAAACTGGATTACGAGCAATGTGAATAGCTGATCGATTGTCACAAAAAACAAGAGCAGGAGCAACTTGAGGGATCTGCAAATCTTTTAATAAATAAGTAAGCCATTGAACTTCACATGTAACAACAGCAAAGGCACGATACTCAACTTCAAAGGAAGATTTGGAAACAGTTTGTTGCTTCTTGGATTTCCAAGATATTAGACTATCTCCCAAAAAACACAATGGCCAGTGATAGATCTCCTGGTATCAAGGCATGAAGCCCAATCTAAATCTGAGAAAGCTTTCAACTGTAGAGATGATGAAGCAGAGAATAACACTCCTTGGCCAAGACTGGCTTTTAAGTATCGAAGAATTCTATGTACGGCTTGCATATGATGGTCTGTAGGGCAGTCCAAAAACTGAGAAAGATGTTGGACAACAAAACAAATGTCTGGCCATGTGCTACATAAATAAATTAATTTGCCAACCAATTTTCTGTAGGAAGTAACATCCGTTAGAGGAGTACCAACATCTTTATCAAGTCTTTAAGAGGTAATCATAGGAGTAGATACTGGCTTGCTGTTTATAAAACTAGTTTCCTCCAAGAGATCAATCACATAATTCCTTTGGCTAAGATTAATGCCAGCCATGGATCTGGCAACTTCTAGGCCAAGAAAGAACTTGAGTTGGCTGATATCTTTAATTTTGAAAGTATCATGTAAGAACTTTTTGACCTCATTTATCAATTCAATGTTGTCACTTGCCAAAATGACATCATCAACATAAATTAGCAAGGCTATAAAATGAGAACCAGCTTGTCTTGTGAACAGAGAAGTATCAGAAATTGCCTAAGTGAATCCTTGAGACAACAATGCATCAGTGAGTTTTTGATTCCGTTGTCTACTTGCCTGTTTGAGACCATAGAGTGACTTAGTTAATCTGCACACTTTTGAAGGATCAGAAGTTTCAAAACATGGGGGAAGAGTCATGTAAACTTCTTCATGTAAGTCACCATGCAAAAAGGCATTGTTAATATCTAGTTGCTGCAAATGCCAATCTTTAATATCTGCAACAACAAGTAAACATCTAATAGTTGTTATATTTGCAATTGGAGAAAAAGTATCAAGATAATCAATGCCATTCTGTTGAGTATAGCCCTTGGCAACTAGTCTTGCCTTGTATCTTTCACCGCTGCCATTTGCATGATACTTGGTTTTAAAAACCCATTTGCACCCTATAGGTTATTTTCCTGCAGGTAAATCAATTAAAACCCAAGTATTATTTTGCTCTAATGCCTTGATCTCAAGTGCCATTGCGTCCTTCTAGCATTGTGATTTTATAGCCTCATTATAGGTTCTAGGATCTTTGGTTTGGGAGATCTGAGTAGCAAAGATCCTATGAAAAGGAGATAATTTGTGAGTGGAATAGGTAGAAGATATGGGGTGAGGATTGGAGGTTTTGAAAACAGAATTGGCTTTAAGATTTGGTATTTGACAATGATATTGGTCAAGATATGAAGGAAGTGTATGAGGTCTGCATGATCTTCTAGGTTGGGTTTTAGAATGTATACTTTGTATGGGATCTGGTGAAACATTAGTGGAAGGGGTTGGATCAATAATGGTATTATCTAAAGTGGTAAGTGGTGGTGATTGATTAGTAGATAAAGATGTGAAAGAAGGTGGAGAAGGTTCTGCTAAAGGAACTACATATCCTGTGGGAAGAACAAAGTCTGAATTATCTATTGAGAAAGAATTAGAATGAAAAGGAAACGAGTGTTAATAGAAATGCACATCTCTTAAGACAATGACCTTTTTAGTTCTAAAATTATACAAACGAAAACCTTTAGTGGCAGAAGGATAGCCAAGAAATACACAAGGATTGGCTCTAGTATCAAACTTAGTTCTATCTGTATCAAGTGTAGAAGCAAAGCAAAGGCATCCGAAAACTTTCAAATGATCAAATGAAGGAGCAGCATGATAAACAAGTTGAAATGGAGTTTTGTTTGAAATGATTGGGTAAGGAGTTCTATTTATTAGATAGACTACATGAGAAACACAGTCAGACCAAAAGGAAAGGGGAAGTTGTGATTGAAACTTGAGAGCTCTGGCAACATTCAAAATATGTTGGTGTTTTCTCTCAACAATAGAATTTTGTTGAGGAGTATACACACATGTAGTTTGATGAACAATATCTCTTGAAGCATAAAAATCAGACATGTTAAATTTCAAAGCATTATCAGATCTAATACACTTTATTTTTGCAGGAAACTGAGTTTCAATCAAAAAACAAAAGTTTTGAATATGTTGTCTAACTTCAAATTTAATTTTCATAAGGTATATCCATGTAAATCTACTCTTGTCATCAACTATTGTCAAAAAAATATTTATGTCCATAAAATGAAGGAGTAGAAAAAAGACCCCATGTATCAATGTGAATCAAATCAAAACAGTTGGCAGAAGTAGATTGACTAATGGGGAATGAAAGTTTTCTTTGTTTGGCATAATGACACATGGAACAGTAATTTGAAGATGGTAGTGTTATAGAATGATCCAATGCTCTCAAAAGTTTCAATCGAGGATTGGACAAATGCCCCATCCTAAAATGCCATATATCAGTTGCATTAGGCTTATTACAAAAAGGAACATCCAAAAATGCCCCCCCGAGCGCTCTCTTTACTCTGTATGGCCCTTCCCAATTTGGTCCAACTTTGCCCACGCCGGGTTCGGGTACCCTGATCTTACGGAGAACCAGGTCGCTGACACAGAAGCTCCGCTTCTTTACTCTGGCATTGTAGTACCGAGCTA